TCTGCAGCTGCTGGCCCAGGTGCTAAGCCCCTCACTGCCCTGGGCCGGTGGTGCGGGCTGGCCGCTCCGTGTGCGTGGCCCACTGCGCCGGCGCCTGCTGGAACTCACGCTGGCCCGCGAGCACAGTCCCGGTTCCCGCCCTTGCCTCTCCCTCCACACCTCCCAGCAAGCAGAGGGAGGCGGCTCCGGCCTCAGCCAGGCCAGAGAGGGGCTCCCACGCAGTGGCGCATTGAAGGACTCCTCAAGTGCTGCCAGAGTGGGTGCCGAGGCTGAGGAGGTGCTGAGAGTGAGGGCTGCTAGCACATTGTCACCTCTCACCCTGAGCCTAGCTCATTAGGCGTTTGTAGGTGTCTGTGTAGCAAATGTGTTATCTGGGAGTCTCCCCCAGTAGCTGTGGTGGAAAGTGACACAAGAAGGCTGGCAGGACTGGGACAGGATGAAGACAGTGCAAGATCCACAGGACAAATCAGAGGCTGAAGTTTCTGCTGGACTATCTTCAAGAAGTTGCTTCACTCAGGCCATTCTACTTCCAGGTTCTCTCCTCTGCCCCCGCTCATCCTCTTCCCTCCTTTGAACCACTAGCTGCCATACTGTTATCCTTTCCTAATCTTGCCCTCCCTTCAAAGCCCAGCCCAGCTCTACCCCACCCAGAAGCCTTGAGGCTATTGGCCACTCATCAGCCCACTCAAGGATTCCTGTGGCAGGAGACCCTTCCTTCCAGAGATGTAAGGAGACTTCGAAGCAGGGAGGATAAGGAAGGAACATTCAATAGCCCATGTCCTTCAGGAGCTCATAATCAAATATAATACTTAAAATATCAGTTCATATTTTACTTTATTTTTGGAGACAGGCTCTTGCTCTGTCCCCCAGCCTGGAGTGCAGTGGCATGATCACAGCTCACTGCAACATCAAACTCCTGGTCTGAGGTGGTCCTCCTACCTCAGTCTCCTAAGTAGCTGGGACTACAGGTGGATACCACCATGCCTGGCTAATTTTTAAAATTTTTTTTAGAGGTGGGGTTTCACTGTGTTGCCCAGACTGATCTTAAACTCCGGGGCTCAAGTGATCCTATCACTTCAGCCTCACAAGTAGGTGGGATTATAGGAGCAAGCCACTGTGACTGGCTTGCATTTTACTCTAAATATGTATTTTTAAATGTAATATCATTTCTGCATATTATGCATAATACTGATTTTTTTTATTTCAAAAGCAATTTAAAGATCTGGAAATATAAATCATACATAAGCCTATTACCCAGAGGCAATCTCTATTAGCATTTTAGTGTATTTTCATCTAGCTTTTTTGAAAATATAATTTTTACCTTTTTATTTTGAAACACTTTTAGTCTTACAGAAAGGTTGCAAGAAGAATAAGGAAAACTTCCCTATTTGCGTAGATCTACCAATTTTTAACATCACATTTCCTTTATTCTCTTTGTCTACAAGTAATCATAAAGTCTGGAAAGATAGCAGATATACATGATATCATCAGGACATCTTCAATCTACATTCAATTATAGTACCTACATTTCCAGATTTTATGGCTGCCCTGTATTTTTACACATTATTTTTCTTCAACTATTTACGAATAGATTGTATTCATTCATCTCCTAATACATCAGAGTATATGTCTTTTTTTTTTTTTTTTTTTGAGACAGGGTCTTGCTCTGTAACCCAGGCTGGAGTGCAGTGGTGCAATCTTGGCTCACTGCAACCTCCACCTCCCGAGTTCAAGCAATACTCCTGCCTCAGCCTCCCAAGTAGCTGGGATTGCACTACCACACCCAGCTAATTTTTATATTTTTAGTAGAGGTGGGGTTTCACCACATTGGCCAGGCTGGTCTTGAGCCCCTGACCTCAGGTGATCCGCCTGCCTTGGTCTCCCAAAGTGCTGGGATTACAGGGTGAGCCACTGCGCCCGGCCCAGCGTATGTCTTTTAAGAACAAGGACATTCTCGGCTGGGCGTGGAGGCTCACGCCTGTAATCCCAGCACTTTGGGAGGCCGAGGTGGGCAGATCATGAGGTCAGGAGATGGAGACCATCCTGGCTAACACCGTGAAACCGCATCTCTACTAAAAATACAAAAAAAATTAGCCAGGCATAGTGTCACGAGACTATAGTCACAGCTACTCGGGAGGCTGAGGCAGGAGAATTGCTAACTCAGGAGGCAGAGGTTGCAGTGAGCTGAGACTGCACCACTGCACTCCAGCCTGGGAGACAGAGCAAGACTCTGTCTCGAAAAACAACAACAACAACAAAAAAAACCAAGGACATTCTCTTATGTAACCACAGTGTGGTAATTATAGTCAGGAGATTTAACATGGATACAACACTTTTATTAACCTGTGGTCCATATTCCACTTTTGTCACTTGTCTCAATAATGCTCTAGAGCATTCCCCCCCTACGCCAGGATCCAATCCTGAGTTACACAGTGCATCTAGTTGTTTCTTTAGCTTCTTTAATGTGGAACAGTCTCATTCCCACTCTTTCTTTGTCTTTATGACATTGACATATTTGATGAAAAAAACCGATTAATTTATGGAATGTCCGTCAGTGTGGGTTTGTTTTGTTTTCTCGTGATTAGATTTATTTAGTCCCTGTGGAATATTATGTGAGTGATGCTGTGGACTTCCCCGGTATCACATATGGAAGAACACAGTGTACCACCTGCCCTTCGTTGATCCTTTTTTTTTTTTTTTGAGACGGAGTCTCACTCTGCCGCCCAGGCTGGAGTGCAGTGGCCGGATCTCAGCTCACTGCAAGCTCCGCCTCCCGGGTTCATGCTATTCTCCTGCCTCAGCCTCCCGAGTAGCTGGGACTACAGGCGCCGCCACCTCGCCCGGCTAGTTTTTTGTATTTTTAAAGTAGAGACGGGGTTTCACCGTGTCAGCCAGGATGGTCTCGATCTCCTGACCTCGTGATCCGCCCGTCTCGGCCTCCCAAAGTGCTGGGATTACAGGCTTGAGCCACCGCACCCGGCCTCGTTGATCCTTTTAACATGTCCCCGTCATTTTTTAGGGATAAGACTTCATTACTTTCTGGTGCAACAAAATGTACCAGTTTCATCTTGTACCCTCCCTACCCCAGCCTTTGAATCTGCTCCTTTCCTAAGGAACCCTGGTCCCTGTTAGTGGACCAGGATCTGGATGTCATTTGGTCTTTTTGCTTTTCACTTAGTATCTGTCTAGCTCTGTTTAGCCCCTTGTTTATTGAGTTGGAATCACACTGCTTATATGCATTTCATAAAATTTTAAGCATTATTCCATGTCATGAATGTTTGAAAACATAGTTTTAAAGGCTGCATAGTATTCAGTCATATGAATGGACCAGCATTTATTTAACCATCCACCTTTGTAAATAATGCAGCAGTGAATATCCTTGGTATGTACACCTGACCAGATCTTTGAACATCTTGGATTGTTTCCTTAGACTACATTCTCAGAGGTGAAATTTTGCCAGGACAGCATTGTGAGCCTCCCTTATGTATGTCTTTAATGGGGAAATGGTCCAGGCTGTGTGGATTATAAGAGGTTAGGCAGCTGTTCCTATTAGGAATGGACTGAAGGTTGATCTGGTTTGTGAGAGACAGCACCTGGGTAGGGGCGGCATTAGGGGTTAGAGGTTGCTTCATGTAGGGTGCCATGGTGGGAGAGAATTGGAGGTGGGATGAGAACTGGTGTGTGGGGACACTTTGAGGTGACCTGGAGCCTATTGTAGGGTCTTTATTGGGAAGGGAAAGGGACAGGAATTGACTGCAGGGTCTGGTGTCCTACTAAATAAGGGGAGGGAGTCCGGGCTTGGTGGCTCACGCCTGTAATCCCAGCACTTTGGGAGGCTGAGGTGGGTGGATCACAAGGTCAGGAGATCCAGACTATTCTGGCTAACAAGATGAAACCCCGTCTCTACCAAAAATACAAAAATTATCCAGGTGTGGTGGTGGGTACCTATAGTCCCAGCTACTCAGGAGGCTGAGGCAGGAGAATGGCATGAACCTGGGAGGCGGAGCTTGCAGTGAGCTGAGATTGCACCACTACACTCCAGCCTGGGCAACAGAGCGAGAATCTCCATCTCAAATAAATAAATAAATAAATAAATAAATAAAATAAATAAATAAATAAGGGGAGGGAATGTGGAGGCTTCTGTTTCCTCCACTGTGCAAAGGATGGTGGAGAGTTGTGGGGCTCCAGGGAGGAATTTGGGGCAGAGCCCAGAGTGTAGTGAGGCATGAACCCCCAGCGATTGCAGCTTCCCCTTCATCCCCAACCTTGGCCCCCTCTGTCTTCCCCTTGAGCTTGGCTTTGCCCAGCTGGCTTAGTCCCCAGGGCAGAAGGCCCAGCAGCCGGGTTGCTTGGTTTCCTTTCATTGTGCTCTAATGCCTGTGGCGCTTAGCACAAAGCCCTCCTTTTCCACAGCCCCTGCTCTGGGGCAAGGTTGGGGGAGCTGCCTCTTGTCCTGCACCTCAGCAGCTACAGGGCTGTGGATGAAGGAGGGCCTGAGGATTGTGAGCTTGGTGCTTTCAGGTTTGAGCTGCACTTGGGAACCTCCCCCTGGAGGCAGAGCTAGACCTTGGGGAGGGACCCCTGTGAGGGGCAGGCAGGACGCTCTGTCACTTCAGGTCCTGAGCAAGACAGGGAGGCTGGGAGAGGGCTGGGGCCAGGCCTCACCTTCAGCCTACATGTCCAGGGATGCTTGGGAGCTTTTAATAGGCTCAGAATAGATCTCAGGGCATTGGGAGAGAGAGGGGAAAATGGGAGGCACCGGGAAGAGCAGATGGGCCCATCCTTGAGTATCTCAGTAGTCTCTCTGAGTTGACTTTGGAAAACTCTCAGCCTCAGGAAAGCTGTCCTTAGATTTCTGAGGCCTCATTGGCATTTATCACCCACATGGGGAGTCCTGGGGACCGGGGGACCCCAATCATAAAGGGTGGGGCTCCCCAGTGTCTGGAGAAGGGTGCACAGCGGCTGATCCATTCACTCTTCTCTCTCATCCCCTTCTTCAGACATCCTTCTATGGCCGCTTCAGGCACTTTTTGGATATCATCGACCCTCGCACACTCTTTGTCACTGAGGTAAGTCATGGCTGTCACCCTCAGTGGCCTTTTGGCCTTTGTACCTTGTCATTTCAGAATATGTGGGTCATTAAGGGAGGGTGAGGATGGGAAAGTGAAGAGAATAGGGGAGGTGGGAGGTGAGAGAGGAAGGTAACAAATTCTCTCTACCTGTAGCTGTCTATTTATGTATCTATGTGTCTGTCTCTGAGTTCATACATTGTGCTGTATGCTTTTTACATTATGTCATTTGGATCTCACAACACCCCTCCAAGATAGATATTATTGTTATTCTTTAAAACTTCAATGAAATTATCAAGTACATAAATTATTTGCTCATTAGAAAAGTTCAAACAGTACAAGTATGTTTAAGTAGAAAAAAAAGTATCCTTTAATCATCCTCCCTACTTAGTTCCCTCCTCTCATAGGTAACAGCTGTTAATGGCTTTTAACATCAGGTTAATAAGGTATAATTTACCTTTAAAGGTGTGCAGTTCTTTGAGTTTTGACCGTCATATTCAGTCATGTATCCACCATCACAATTGTATCAGTCCGGTCTCACACTGCTATAAAGAAATTCCTGAGACTGGGTAATTAATAAAAGAAAGTGGTTTAATTGTCTCACAGTTCCTTATGGCTGGGGAGGCCTCAGGAAATGATCATGGTGGAAGGGGAAGCAGGCACCTTCTTCACAAGGTGGCAGGAGAGAGAGGAATGGAGGAGGAGCTTCTGAGCACTTATAAAACCATCAGATCTTATGCAAACTCACTATCATGAGAACACCATGAGGGAAACCATCCCCGTGATACAATCACTTCCCACCATGTCCCTCTCTCAACATGTGGGGATTATAGGGTTTACAATTTGAGATGAGGTTTGGGTGGGGACACAGAAGCAAACCTTATGGACAATCAAGATGTGAAGCATTTTCATCACCCTGACATGTTCCCTCATACCTCTTTATAATCCGTTCCTCCCTGTCTCCACCCCCTGTCAACCAATCATTTGCTTTCTGTTTCTATTGTTTTTCTGTTTCCAGAATGTCATATAAATGGAATCCTATAGTATGCAGCCTTTTGTATCTGGCTTCTTTCCCTTAACACAATGTTTTTGAGGCTGGGTGCAATGGCTCACACCTGTAATCTCATCACTTTGAGAGGCTGAGGCAGGAGGATTGCTGGAGCCCAGGAGTTCAAGACCAGCCTGGGCAACATAGTGAGACCTGTCTCTACAAAATTTAAAAAAATTAGCCGAGTGTGATGGTGCGTGCTTGTAGTCCCAGCTACTCAAGAGGCTCAGGTGGGAGGATTGCTTGAGCCTGAGAGGTTGAGGCTGCAGTGAACCGTGATTATACCACTGCACTCCAGCCTGAGTAACAAAGTGAGACCCTATCTTTTTAAAAAAAAAAAAATGCTTTTGGAATTTATTTGTGTCATTGCATGTATTAGTAGTTAATCCCTTCTGACTGCTGAGTAGTGTCCCATTGAAAGGATGTTCCAGAATTTATCCATTCACTTGTTGATAAATACCTTGATTCTTTCCAGTTTTTTGGCTATTATGAATAAAACTATATGAACATTCTTTGTGTGGATGTATGCTTTCATTTCTCTTGAAGGAATAAGAATGGGAATGCTGGATCCTATGGTAAGTGTGGTAAATGTATGTTTACTTTATCAGAAACTGCCAAACTGTTGTTCAAAGGGTTGTACAATTTATATCTCCATCAGCAAATGTATGAGAGTTCCAGTTGCTCCACTACCTCACCAACACTTGCTATTGTCAAATTTAAAAATCTTTTTTTATTTCAGCCATTCTAAGAAGTATGTCTTGACAGACTTTTTTTTTGAGATGAGTTTTGCTCTTGTTGCCCAGGTTGGAGTGCAATGGTGCGATCTTGGCTCACTGCAACCTCTGCCTCCCAGGTTCAAGCGATTCTCCTGCCCCAGCCTCCCAAGTAGCTGGGATTACAGGCACCCACCACTACGCTGGGCTAATTTGACAGACGTTTTGTATATATTTACAAATGTATGTAGGAATATATGTACATATAAAATGTCAAATTTTGTTTTGTTTTGTTTTGTTTGAGACAGGGTCTTGCTCTGTCGCCCAGGCTGGAGTGCAGTGGCATGTTCTCAGCTCACTGCAACCTCCACCTCCCGGGTTCAAGTGATTCTCGTGACTCAGCCTCCCGAGTAGCTGGGATTACAGGCATGCACCACCATATGCGGCTAATTTTTGTATTTTAGTAGCAACTGGGTTTTGCCATGTTGGCCAGGCTGGTCTCAAACTCCTGGCCTCAAGAAATCCACCCCATCAGCCTACTAAATTGCTGGGATTATAGGTGTGAGTCACCATGCCTGGCCTAAAATGTCAAATATTTATTAAGTACTATGAACAAGGCAATTTGTAAGCATTTTACATGCATTAACTTATCAGATTAACTCAAAGCAGCCCTAAGATGTGGATGCTATTATAAGTTCCAGTTTACAGATGAAGAAAAAGACAGACTGGAAGTTAAGCCTCATGCAAATGGTGCTGGCAAGTGATGGAGCCAGGGTATGAACCCGGGTACACTTGTCTCCAGACCCTTATACTCACCCCATTTGCATTCCTGTTCAAATAACTTGAGTTTAGGGAACTTGCCCAAGATTACATGGCAGAAGGCCTGAGCATTGGCCCTGGCCCTCATGTGGGCAGCACTTCACTGCACATCTTCTCTGTGCTGACATTGGCTTACTTGCTTTAAGCCCTGGAGTTGACCAGCTCTGGGAGAGAAAAGACATGATAGAAGGAGCACAAGGCTTGCTGGGCACCAGGGCCTAGAACCATCGCCCCTCATGTCCAGGGGAGCAGCCCAGTAATATGAAATGTGGGAATTACCCTGACAGGTGGTTTCCTACTGCATCTCAGAAGGACAAAGGGCATAGGTATTTTATTAGCTGACCTGGGCTCTGTCTGGATTCTCCTAAGAAGTGATCAAGGAATAATCAGTGCAATTACATAAAAAGTTGGAAGAGCACAAACCTAGAGAAACTACTTATCTAGCCCACCTAATGTATGATTCTAGAAAGTTCTAGAACTGTGCAAAACAAGACACATTTGCAGTCCTAAAATCTGAACAGAAATGCCATGTATTTGGTGGAGGAGTCAGCCGAGATGTAAAGGATAGACATGCTAATGGTAGACTTCAAGGCACATTGAGACATGGTAGAGGGAGACGGGGGAAGCAGGGAGGTATTTCATTGCTTCCCAGGTTACCATGAACAGGCAGGGGTTTTGGTGATGGATGAGCAGCTACAGGACGGCATGCTACCTGTGCCAGGAGGGACCCCCGTCCCTTTTCCCAGTCCCTCCTCCTCCCATTCTCAGACCATTTCATTTCACTACTCTCCTCCTTGTACTGCAATTTTATTCTTCAACTCTTGCATTTTGAAAGACCCCAACATTCTTTTACATCACTAAATCATTTTTTTTTTTTTTTTTTTTTTTTTTTTTTGAGACGGAGTCTCGCTCTGTCACCCAGGCTGGAGTGCAGTGGCCGGATCTCAGCTCACTGCAAGCTCCGCCTCCCGGGTTCACGCCATTCTCCTGCCTCAGCCTCCCGAGTAGCTGGGGCTACAGGCGCCCGCCACCTCGCCCGGCTAGTTTTTTGTATTTTTTAGTAGAGACGGGGTTTCACCGTGTTAACCAGGATGGTCTCGATCTCCTGACCTCGTGATCTGCCCGTCTCGGCCTCCCAAAGTGCTGGGATTACAGGCTTGAGCCACCGCGCCCGGCCACTAAATCATTTTTGACCCGTTTTTCCTATGAGTAAATTTTTAAAATTTCGTACCTGAAAAAAACTATTAAATGTCAAAGCAACTTAAATATTTACTGACTAGAAAATAATGAAGGCAACTCCAATTTTAGAATATTTTTCAAATTTCAATGTTCCTTTACCTCATCAGAGATTCAGATAGACTTTTTAGAAAGATCTGCACCTCTCCTCCGCACTGTATCCCCGTTAGGGATTGTTTCCAGGCCATGTACTGGCCTTTTTAAAAGCTTCTGCCAACAGAAGATCTTCTAGCCTTAAAAAGTCTGGAAGGGCCCTGAATGGGACCTCTAGGCTAGCAAGATAGTGGCCACACCCCTCATTGGCTCTAGCCTAGGCAGGTTGTTTAGCGAGGTCATCTCCATCAATGCAATGGGAAATTAGAGGCCTCTGAGTCCCTCCCATGAGTTGTGGGGCACTGGGAGGGCCAGGTTCCCCCTCAATGCTGGAGTCAGTCCACAGACCATGGCTTATAAATACAGTTTTCCTCCCAGGGCCCTTGGCTGGTGCCCTGGGAGGGAATGTGGGGTGGTTGCTGCTTAGCTGGAGGAAATTTGGATGAGCCCATTTGTCTGTGATGATGGGAGAGCAGTAGAGGTCATGAGGACTTGAGGAGGTGGCTCTGGAAGCTGGAGGGTCCAGAAGTAGAAAGATCCTAGGTAGCTTGAGCCATCTGGTGACCTGGTTCTGAGGGACGTTAGCTGAACCAATGGAGAAACTCCTCTTGAGGGAATTTTGCAGGTACTTCTTTGTAGTTTATAACTGACCATGCTCTAAAAAGATCCCAACCCTTGTATGTGTAATAAGGTAGAGGAAATTTTATTCACTGTAATTTTTCTTAGGAAGAAGGCTGTCTTTGTTCTAAGAATGCCTAACAAAGCTTCAGGGGAGGAGGTTGCTCTGCTTCACAGAGGAGAAGAATGGTGCATTTTGATCCTAAATGGAGAAAGGAGAGGGAAGGAAGAGGAGGAAAAAAACAGTGGGAAGGAGACCATAATACTGGGATGAGCTGAAAGACCAATAAAGAGATGCCGCAGTGAGGTGTGGCTGGGGGCTCTTTTGAGATGAGTGATGCTGACTGTGTTTGTGAGAACTGTGAATTTGCACTGTTACTCCTTCTACCATAATTCCTGGGAAGCTGTCAGCAAAATATGCCTGGTTTGTGAAATCTCTGCAAGAGATTATTTGGGGGATTTTTTTTTTTTTT